CTTTAATCGAAATACCCGAGCACAAAGGTCAGGACGATCTTGTGCTGTTTGTCCTGATAGCAATGCAGCTTGAATTTTGGGCCATTTTGGGTTGCATGTTATTGTGATGAAAAGATCTGGTTTTTTCAATTGCCCAACAATGGTCATCGAGTCTTGATACAATTGTTGCATATGCCATGGACCTCCAATAAAACTTGAAGGGAGTATAATTCGACGACTGATACGAAGCTTATTTGATGGTAATTCATTATTTGCTGAAAGTGCATCTTGAAATTCACTATACAATTCAGCACGAATTTGTTTTTGATTATGTTTTATATAATTTAGACAACTTTGCTCAATATATACATATGCATCAACAATATATTGTTGAAAAAGATGACCAGATCTATGTAATGCAAATAATTCAGTTGGTTTGTATATTCGAAAATGCAAACAATATGCATAATATTGTATCATTGATACATAATCTCTAGTTGTATTATCATTTGTTGAAATATCTTCTTTACTATTATAATCTGAACTATCATTGCTAGTAGATTCTGTTTGAGGATTATTTATGTGAATACATGGATGCCATCCGGAATCACCATATGGAAATAGCAAAACATAATGTAATGGAATATAGCTATGATGAATTTCTGAGATACACTAGAGACTACCGTTTTTCTTGTATAGTATAATATCTCGATTAAATGGCTTAACTTCTTAACTATCTTCAACCATAAGAACAGCAACTTCTGATGCGATAAGTATTATATATTGATATTCATATCTAGTTTTAACAATAATAATCTTTAAATCTTGTATATGATTTTCTTGTAAAACATGAGCTGCTCTTCGAAAGATGTGTGTATAAGGATTAACTTTATGTAGCATTGTTTGAAGTTGCGCAAGTGTTGTTAGATTTAGGTTTGGCATTAATAATTGTCTTTGTTATAACTGATCATTTGTATTATACATATAAATCTGACTGAATGATGGTGAATCTTGATTTTCAGGTATAAGAGAACCGATATAGTGATGTATTTCTTCTTGAATATGAAAATTGTACACACCCTGTGTTTCGATAACACGTTCATCGATTTTGGCACCCATGGAGGTAAATGCAAGTATAGAATTATATATATGAATCTTTTTTCGAAAATCATGTGCTTGCGGACTTTCTTCTGTGAGAAGTATTTCTAATAATTCCGGTAGTGAAGCAATGACAAGTAGTTTCACCTTGCCTTTTGCATAACAGGTCCTGAAAATGTGTGCATGTCGAGATCCTGCCACTTTCTCATCTATCCAATGTAATGCTTTGCATTCTGGACATTCAATACTCATACTTCCAATATTATGTAAAAATACAGTCTTTGTATTATAATTCTCAATACGTGCTGCATTAGAGATATGATTTTTAAATTCTTTTTGTTTTTTTCTACGTAACTCAACTTGCTCAATGGTTCTCTTTGCAAGTGCTTGTCTTTGAATATTTCGACGTTGTTCAGATTCATCAATGTTTTCTTTTGCAAGACGA